AGTACTGCCTGCTGTGCATTGGCTGCCAATGAGTAGTGGCCCCTTGGGGCCGCGCGCTTCCACCCCAGCTCCCCCAGCTGCAGAAGGGCCGGTGAGGCACGCGTCCCCCTCCGGACCCGCTCCCCAGCCCCGCAGAAGGTGCCGGGAGGAGGTGACCTGCTGTCTTGGAAAAAATAAATCCCTGGGAGAGGTTTAAGCAGCAGCAAAGCCCTGCTCGCAGCTCCCCAGCCAGGGACAACGGAAGCTGTTTCGGGTGCTTAGGACTGGCAGCATGGGTTTGTGCAAGGAAAGCTGCCTCCTTTGAGGAGGAGAGACAGTGCAGTTGTGTCTGTCGTGGCTTACGAAGTCCGTGCCGACTTCTTTTTTTAAAATCGGAATCTTCCCCTGTGTTTTAAATATCTGCCAGCGCTAAACTTCTATACTTAAAAAAATATATATCCCATACACGGATTTCACTAGTGAAATGCACCGAGACCCGCCCCACCCCTCGCCCTTCTCTTGCACGCACGCACGCACCGCACACAAACACACACGCAGAGCAGCTCTGTCAAATACTGGTTTGGTACTTCAGATGATGTTTTCTCCAATACTGAGAGGGAAAAATACATCAGCACAATCAACCCCAGCTAAGTAGCTCAGCAACACTTCCCAAAAGCGAAGGTCCTGGGAGCTGGAAGACTAGGTGGATAAAAATTATCCACCAGGAAAAACAAAAATTAAAAAAAAATTTAAAATTATATAATATATATTTCTATATCTTAACAGACTGCTTATCCCTTGGTCGTGTTAACCGCAAAACACACACACTGCCTCTGTTTTTTCCTCTCAGATTGTGAAGCCAATCGTATAAAATGGTGGGATGTGCCACCCCCCCCCTTCCCACCCCAAAAACTGCATGCTGCACGGTGCCTTTCAGACCAGGAACGGGGCTGTGGGTGAGCGAGTGTCTTCCTCCAGTTAAGAACAAAGACATTATTTTTATTTACAAAAAAAGGAGAAAAAAGTTTCCACACAAAAGCACTACAATGATAACTCCCTTTGGTAAAAAGTGTAATAAATGTCTCTGTCGGTCTGTCTGTCGGTACTATTTCTCAAGCCACCTGGTACTATGGTACACAAGAAGCTAGTACAGTTATGCTAGCACATCAAGCATACTTCCTTTAATAAAAAACAAAAAAACAAAAAAAAAAACCAAAACCAACCAAACCAACAACAACAACAAAAAAAAACAAAAAAATTGACAATTTGTACATTTATTTACAAAAAAAGAGGGGAACATGTTAAAATTGTGTTGTTCTCTGCTGTGTGTGTGTACGTACATGTGTGTGAAAAGCTGGTGCATGGCACTAGGAGAGACTAGTAAACAAGCAGGTACAAAAAAAAAAAAATTAAACAGTTCCACTGGCACTAGAAAGGACAGACCGATCTGCACGGGGTGAGTCCAGCCTGGGAGGGAGGAGAGGGAGGCGAGAGGAACCCAGGGTCCGCTCCGTGAGGCGGCGGCGGGCTGCCCCACGGCCCCGTGCAGGAGCCCGGCCAGTTGTCGGCAGCGCAAAGGGAGAAGAATCTGGTCGCGACAGGCACCTGGGGATTTCAGGACACATCCAAGCGGTCCGGTGGTGGAGAGCCTCCAGTTCTCTTCCCTCGCCGCTCAGGGCCTCCGGGGAGTCAAAGCCTCAACACTGCTGGTGTGTATGAGCTCGTTGTGTTTCTCTGGGATGGCTCAGTTCAGAGAAGGGTCCTTCCCGCCCTCTGGGGACGCGTGCTAAGTCCAAGGGCCGGCGGCCCACGGTCCCGGCGGGCGCCGGCGGAGATCCGCGTCCCTACAGGGAATCCCGCTGGTGACAGGTTGTACCAGCCACGCACTAGTCAAGTGGCCATGTTACGGAGATACACAGTGAGGGGAGAAAGGCATCTTCCTCCTTTCCTTGATGCGCGCACACACACACACATCTCCCGGGCTCTTCCCTCGCCCCGGGGGAGCTTTACGGTGTCTTGAATATTGTGCCGTATTTGACGCGGTACTTGTTAATGCTCACAAAGTGCAGGGTCTCTGTGTCACAGGTGGTGGTGCAGGGCACCAAGCCCTCCAGCCCTTCGCCCATTAGCCACTTGTTTGTCTCGGCTGCCATTTCACGGGACACATGCTCCTTGGTCCATTTGTCCACCCAGGCCTGGAACCGCTGGTGCAGCCGCTTGCTCACTCTTTCGTGGGACTACAGAAATAGGAAGAGGTGTTACAAAAAGGCAGGTTCGTTCTCCCAAACTGTAGCGTTTCGCAAAGCTCGGCTGCCAGTCAACACAACCGAGGGGATCAACAGCCAGAGGGAATTTGTAACACAGACGCCAGCCCTTGCTAACAACAGAGGAAAAGCTTCGATAAAGGCCCCCGGGTCTCCTCTCCAAGGCAATTACAGTGGCAAAACAAACTCAGGAATACCAAGAGATTTATGCTCTTTGTTTAATACAGCGGCTCTTGGGCTGGGGACACAGAACATATCCTGCAGGAGCCCGAGAGCTGCACACCCAGCACTGCGTCCTTTCTGCATTACCCAAAAGATGCTGCCTCCTCCTCCTCCTCCAGCAGCCAGGAGCCAAGGTGGACCCCAGACCAGGCAAGCCCTGCTCTCCCCAGCCCTCAGGGTCTGCCTCCGGCCCCCCCCAGAGGGGCACGGTCCCAGGAGAGAGCAAGCTCAACACACAGTACACATGTTGGGGGACCCGACTGCTACGGCACATTAAGAACCAGGTCAGGTCTAAAAGGTCTGAGAACCGCTGGCTTAACAGAAGCATCAGGAGAGGAAAAACTGCGCACATCTTGAGTAAAAGCATCTGCTTAAGGAATGTAAAATCCAGCACAGATGGTTTAAAACCATGGCTTGAAAACCATGACTACAGTCATGATTGAAAACAGCAAATATAATTAAGCTTCAAGATTAAAACTTACATATTTTATTATTTGTTTTGTTCTTCTCCCAAAGACTAACTGCTTCTCAGTGTTAACTGTTAAATCTAATACATTTGTAGTTCAATGTAGCTTCTGCAGCTCCTTTGGTGTACTTCAGTAACCAAGGGGCTATGCTGCATGCTATAAACTTAAGAGTTCAATAATTTGACTTATGTTCAGATTCTCTGCGACAAGCACTGGCACATAGTATCCTGTTTATGACACGACTTTTCCTTGAGGTTTGTGCCATTTGAATGCAACAGATGGAATTCAATCAAATTCCTCAGTGTCGGCATTTTAAAGAGTCACTACTGAAATAAAACACTCATCTGATGTAAAGTAATTTTGTCAAACTGGTATTCACAACTAATCAAATAAAACCATTGCTTGTATTTCATCAGCAAGGAAGAGATGGTAAGTAGTTGTTTTATACCTCTAAATACATGACTAAAAAGGAGCTGTGAAGGATGACTTACTAGGCAGGAAGCAGTGCACACCTCTCCCACTCCCTCATCTCCCAGTGAATTTTCTCAGTGATCAGTAGTTTGCTCAGAAAAGCAAATAATTAAATAAACTGAAAACAATCTCTGCAGCTAAAGAAGAGACTACTGCTGACTGAGCCTCTCGGGTACCTCTGCTTCTAGTTGCTTAAGTCAGTAACTTTTGCCTGAATCTGGCAGGTTACACTTTCTTTTACATTCTACACAATGGCATTCTGCTTAATATTGTGTTTCAAATAGATTATAATAAAATTATAGTGAAGTATTTCAAACCTCAAGTCTAAAGAGCCAGACTAGAACTGGAGTTTGCTGTTAAAGCTCCCTGGATTTCTCTACTGGATGGAAATATTCCCACAGGATGAGAAAAGTAACCGAGTATCAAAACGTTCAGAAGACCAAATCAGCTTTCTCCAACTGAACCCTTCTGAATTTGGCTGATCTGAAGTCACGTGCTGTTTTCACCTGAATAAACCCCAACCTTTAGAGCTCAAGAACAGCTGGAGAGCTGACACTTCCTTCCCCTCCTGCATCTCTGCTCCCCTGCCTCCCCACCTATTCCAGCCACCTCCTCCTTCCCTTGCCCCAACAGTTACTTTTGGCACAGAGAACCAAAACCAAATTTGAGTGACTTCAAAAAGTTGAATTCCAATTTAAATTAGCAATCACAAGCGTTGACTGCTAGATGGGAGATGTCACAGACCCTTGGGTCCAGGACTTCCAAGCCCCAGAAAAATACCCACGGGGATTTTTATGTATGGGTGACCTCACACCTCCCGTCCTTGCCACAAAACCAGCTTTTCTAGAGCTGCTGCCACATGTTGGCCACACTCTGCCGTGCGGGAGCGACCTGAGGACTCCCACTCTCCGTGACTGTGGGGACAGGAAACGATGAGGGGCTGGTACCCAGAGGGACCCGTGGGGACTGAAGGCACTTGATGCTCTGCACTGATTCCTCTTTGGGGAAGCCCTGGAAGAACAGGCGCTCTCACACATCACCACAAGAACATGCAGAAGACAGGTCTTCCCTAAAACAGGGGGAACACCACCCATGGGAAGTACCTCCTGGAGGAAATCTTAGAGCCTACGGTCAAAACCACTGTCCTACCATAATAAAACTCTCTGGAGAGAAGAGAGGAGAGGTGGGAGGACGATGAGAGTTAGAGGTGGAAGAAGGAAAGATTACACCTTAGGAACGTTCAGAAGATCTTTAGTGCCTTGGGAGGACAAAATAGCACTCCATCCTCCTGGCAACGCAGAGACCGCTAAATGTCACTGATCAGGATCCCCAAGGACGTTTCATCTGACTCTCCCCACCTGACCTTTGGGAGCAAGGGGTCCTGGGAAACACCAGCTGCCCACCCCAGTCCTTCTGCTCGCTCCTACCTGCTGAGCTCGCAGCAGAGCGGTCCTCCTGTACATGTAATCCTCCGATTTGATCACGTACACCATCTTATAGGAGTTCAGTTTGAATTTACACTCCAGCTTGTCCAAGCTCTCCACGTTCTCCATGGACTTCTTACTGTTTCCCTCTTTCACTGCTGCTCGCGACCACGCTGACACTTTCGGATCCGCCTCAGATTCCTGCAAACCAGAGAACCCCTCTTGGAATTAGTGTCACCCTCTAGCACTACAAGGCTGGATGTAGCTGGTGGATCTGTGCTGGCCCCTCAAAAGCCTGGCAAACAGCTTGGAGCACAACTGCCTGTTGCAGTCATTCAGGCTCAGGCCCCTACAACAAGTCAGCCCACTTGGGTTTATCTTATTTCTCCAATTACGGCTATCGTGCAATCAACTCCCTGCTCATGAAAAGCCCCGATGTGGCACCTGCTGTTTTCAGGTAGAGGGTTACTGTAAGCTAAGGCAGGACTGCCAGAAAACCAATCTGGCAAGTCACCAGCCCTTGCCCTCTCTGCCACCTGTGGACCATGCCATCTCTCAGTCACAGGAGAGCAGGAGCTTGGGGTGGACCCACAGGCTTTTAGGATGAAGAGCAGCATGGTACCTCTACACCATGCTGCCAGGGTAATGGCTTCTGTCGTAGCATTAAAATACAGGCGAGACTGACTGCCCAGCACTGTGATGGGGCGCAGTTGCTCTGCCCTCTATGGCCAGACACAGCCCATTGGGTGGGGTTCACAGCACAGCCTAACCACTCACCTCGGCAGGAAGACCGGTTTCTGGGCCAGGTGCTCCCGGAGCTCAGGGGAGGTAGAATCGGAGTTGACGTACCGCTCCACGTAGTCTGACCAGCGCTGGAAGCAAGCACAGAGCACAGATCAGCCACTGCCTTCCCACCAAACAACATGGGACGGTTCAGGAGGCTAAGCTGGAAGTTATACAGATGAACACAAGGTCACTTTTGAGGGCTCCGTGCATCTTATCCCCCAAAAGGTGGGTACAATGTTTCTCTATATGGTTTTGAGGGTTTTCTAATCCAAAATAAACCAAGAAGGATTTGCCTACTCACACCACTGAAGGCTTTACGGCGTGTCCTTGCTGTTGCTTTATCTTGTGCTAATGGACCACAACAACAGTCAACTGGACGCCCTCGTCCAGTGCACCCTTAACCATCAGTCAGCTCTCTGGACAAGCTGCTCTTACCTCTGCTTCTACAGGGTCATCAGAGTTCTCCTCTTCTGTGTCCAGCAGTTCAATGGTTAACTGAACTTGACCTCTGCTCTGAATGAACATCAGCTATAAAGAAAAGGCAGAAGGGACTTCAGTAAGAGGTTTCAAATAGAAAAAATAACCCCCACTTCTTACTAGGGCAAAGGGAGAATGAAGCAAGTTGGCATAGTTTTTAGGGAAAAAACTGTGCTTCCCACATGCCTGACAGCAAAGGGAAAACACTAGCCAAACTGCACAGTCTTTGAGGAACAGAAAAATTGTAAAGCTTTTTGAAAATCTTTCTTTTTGTTGTTGTTTTTGGAGTGGTGTGGGTCCTCCTTGAGCCCCCCAAATAAGTTTGAGGGCAAGGGAAGAGAGATTATACACACAGGCTTTCATCCAAAGTACTTTAATTGTTCAGAAAGGGCCTGACCACTTCCTGCACCTTAGGCAAAGGAAGTATGGATTTGATTAGCACAGTGTACCAGGTTTATTTAGCAACGTATGCAGTCAGCAATGATTTAATGCCCAGTCAGTATTAGCAGATCTCCCCACAGTCGACAAAGGCTGAGACACAAGAGAAATGGGAGAGCTTGACCTAACAAATTAAAACCAGTGACAGCAAAGCAATCAATAGGATACAACCCAAAGACATTTATTCATTGCTGTTCCAGGAAATATATTTCTCCTTGAAACCTTGTTTCTGAGGGGCCCTTACAGAAGCATTAACCTGCGTGCCAAAGCTGGGGACATGCCACCAAAACTTTCCTTTCAACTTTCAGAAAGTCCTCAGGGCTCTTGGGTGCCTAAACAAAGCTCCTTTTTTAAAGGACTGGCACATGCTTGCTGCTTTCACACCGCGGTTCGCAGCCTGGCTTTACCTTGAAACAGTTCTCCTCTGACATGAGCTGCTCAGCTTTGCGCTGGTACGCGACCTCCAGAAGAGTACGAGAAGACTGGGAAGCGAGAAGACCTCCTGTTGCTCCGTTGTTGTTCTCCGACAGGTAGAGGTCTGTTACCTGCACGCAGATCTCATCACTCACTATGTGCTGGAGCTGCAAAAAGGAAGAACGTGGGGAAGGTGTTCATCAGGGAGTCTGCTATGTGCCCATCAGCACAGAACAGAAAGAAACAAAGATGTAAGCCTGGGTTTAAGCCCAAGAAAAAAAAAAAAAAAGGCTGAAAAAGCATGAGTTTAAGGCTACGTTTTTAGTAGCTTCTTCCACTTGCAAATGATCTCTGCGGCTATGTAAAAAACCCACAGTATCTTTAAAAAAAATTAGCAGGTGCAGAGTACAGCTACTCAGAGAAAACCTACGGGCAGGGAACACCCTGATCAGCAGCAGGGGAGGAAGGGCTAGAGCACCGTGACATGGTATATCACAGCACAGCGCAGCACAGCGCTGCTGCTGTGTCTGAGGAGAGGGGTGGGAGATTTAGTATGAAATCCTTATTTTGTAGAAGTTTAAAAATCAAAAGTCGCTCGACTGTCTTTTGAATTCAGTTAATCTCTGGACTGAAGTACAGGGCATCTGAAAAGCAGCTCTACCCTTCTGAAAGAGGAAAGACCTTTCAAGCCATTCCACTTCCAGCCTCTTGTGTCTGGTTTTGTTCTTTATGCTACAAAAAGGCACATGAAGAATTTTTCCCTTGGTCACACATTCTTCCTACCAGCCCAATAAAAGGACTAGAGTTTAACAGCCAAAATGAGCTACTCAAACAGCCAGATAAAAGAGACAAAGCTTTTTAGAAAAGGCATGCACTGCTCCTACAACACTGGTGAAAAGGAAAGAAATTATTTAAATGCCATTTAATTCTTTTTTCAAAGTTAAAGCAAGATTAGCTTTGGAGGCGCCTTGAAGTTGAACACTTATATCCTAAAACTCCTGGAAAACAAAGGGAGAATTCTATAGACAGAGAAAGGATATTCTCAGTTATTTAAATACATCAGAAATTACCTTTTATCACGTCTCTCTACATCGGTGTTAGAGCTGGGTTAAGAACATCCAGAATTTACTTGCTTACCCCTGAAATTCCCCATTTAAGCATACAACACTCCCCCTCCAATGTGGGCCTGGGCACTCACTGCAGCAAACAACCCAGCTACTTTCTCTACCCTGGACCATCCACCCTCCAGCCTTTGCTGGCAGTCACCTGTCGAACAATGCTCTGGATCAGCTTGTCCATGGTAAAGGCAATGTAGGCATGAATGGTGAACATTTCGCGCAAGGAATCCTCGTACTGTGACGAGTCCATGTTCCCATCCAGGAGATTGCGCACCATGTCCAGGAAGGCTGGGTAATAATCCTCAACATCGATGTCCACTGCAACAAGAGAGAATGAGAGAGATGAACACTCCACCCCTCAGGAAGGGTCACTTTGAGTTTTGGTCCTCAGACTACTCAGTCAAGCTGAAGAGTTACTGGAATAGACTTAAGTTGGTCTTTGATAGACATTTAAATGAGTCCTTTTAAGGCCATGTGTACTTTCATAATCTCTTGCTTTCTAGCTCTAGCCTCCTCCATGAGGTCTTTGTTTCTAAAAGACTTTTTAAAAAGCTTTTAGTTAGGGAACTCAAAGATACTTCAGATACGCAAGTGTAAAATGAAAGCTTTTATGAAATAACTGCTGCATATTACCATTCTGCTATTCGAGTCCCACATAACCCACACGTTCTCATGTCCTCCCTCAATTCAGTGCTGCCCAGTGATAATAAAAGAGAGATCCTCCTGTTTTAAAGGGTCACCGCTGTAACATGCCTGAAGACACCAAGTAAACCCTGTCAACACACTACAAATAGAAGCATCTTTCTTCCCCAGCCTCCCACCAGAAGTCACTCACTAGGCTCCTTCAGTCGCAGCTGGATGGCAGGACTGTCACTCTTGTCTCGCTTTATGCCCAGCACTTCCCTCTCCCACTCCCTTTCCCGCGTCTCCTCTTCGATCTGCCGCTCGGCCTGGGTGCAGATCCTCAGCAGCCGCAAGCACAGGATCTGATGCAGTCGCATGAATATGTACCAGTTGCTGTTCACGTAGAAGAGATTGTAGACCTCATCCATGCCCCGCAGCTTCTGGGCCGTCGTGTTGTTGAACATCAGCTTCGTTTTGGGAGGACTGCCCCCAACACCATTGTGCTTTTTTGCAGCCCCAGTAGCTTCGTCCACATCCATTTCCTCTTCTTCCTCCTCTTCCACATCCGAGAGTTCACCTCGCTGAGCAAACAGCAGGTCTGGAATGAAGTGATACATGATCTGCTTGATTTTGTACTTGTCCTCTTTCTGGATTCCCGTCTGCCGCTTCACATGGTGGATGATGAGAGAGGCAGCATCTTCCAGGATCTGCTTGTCTTCATAGGCTAGTGATAGGTGTGGGCCTGTGGGGACTCCAGCATTGTCTTCTGAAGCCTGCTCTTGCCTCTACAAATGAGAAACACAGCACAACAATTAGTCTCAAACACCTCTCTCCACCCAAGAGCCTTTCAGAAAGCTCTGCCAGTGGTGCAAACTTCCTCTCTCATCGAGCAGTGAGGAACAGGAACTGAAATGGCACTTGCAAACTACATTAGCTTGAGGGAAGGAAACTATTGGTGACCATCTCACCTCATCATAGATGCTTTCAATCTCATTGAGGAGACTCTTTGACCTCAGGACCTTGGTATCATTCTGCTTGAAGTTGATGCCCTGGTGGTCCAAGGATTTCAGGTAATACTTCTCATTCTGCTCTCGCCAGACTTTATTAAATCCTCTCTGGGCTTCTCGCCACTCTTCCTCTTTCATCTTTAACCTTGGATCAAGAAAACAAGGGTGAGCTGAGAGACATAAAAGGTCCCACTCTGAGCATATAAGGAAAACCTAGGCCTGTGGTTCCTGGCCAGAGTTGAGGAGAGCTGAACTCCTTATGAAACGGGCATAAACGAAAGCCGTCCCACAAAACGGAGCTTTACAGGAGGGGCACCCTGCACACACTCTTCTGAATAAACCCCTCTGAGTTCTCTCATGTCTAAGTAACACAGCTCAGGAACAAAGTAGCTTGAAGGCTTGTGCTTCCTCTCGCGGCATGCTGGGACAGCTAGAGGGTTTAGCATCCTTCTAGCCCCACTGTCCGCAGCAGGGAGAGGGGCTGAAGGGACAGGAGAGCCACAAGAGCTGGCCCAGCGCTCTCGGAAATCCCCAGAAAGTCATGTAGCTCCAGCTGCTGAAAAAGGAGTAGCTTAGTTTGGATGATTAACAAAGTTATTGCCTTGCAGCAACCTGAGCTTCCTGGGAATGGACTCCTGAACCTCGACTTACTATCTCAGCCAAAGCAGCCGATGCAGCTCAAGACCCGTCTCACAGGAAGAGTGTCCTTGCAGCAGGGTGGGGAAGCTGTGACCTTGCAGGTATCCTGGGTAAGGCTGTTACCCCCAGCTCTCAGAGCCCTGAGACACAGGAGTGACAGTCCTGCAGGGACGGGAAGCATCTGGGGAAGAGCATCTCCTCCTTACACATCTCCTCAAGCTTCCCCAAGGAGCTGCAGCATCCACTCCCTTTTCTTGACCGAGGAAGGGGAGGTTGATAACAGAAACCGGACTAGGAATCTGAGGGTAACGCAGCCACCGCAATCTGAGCCCATGGTCACATACAGCTGGGGGATTTGGAAAGGGATCAAATTTAGCCTGGGATCAATCCACACAATACAGTGTCCCCATCTTACACACAATGCTGACATCAGGGAAGAAATGCGGTTTAAGAGGAGACAAGAAAAGCTCTACATCCCTCCAGCTGAGCTGGTAAGGTTTTTGTTTCAGAATGGTAATTCCCTCTTTCTAGGTGATGATTATGAAATACTGACCAGAACATAAAATGTACTACTTAAATTACAGCCTTGTGGAGGCCACACCCTTTAGGGGCAGAAATTAGCTGCTTTTACATTAATCTGGATCACATATGGTGTGTTATCCTTTAGTAGAGCCCCTGGGGCAGGGTGCTGGAGCAGTCAATACCTTTTCAGTACAATGGGAACAGCCACGGATGGGTTCTTCCGAAGTCCATCAATGATGTCGGCTGCTTTGTCAGCATATATCCTCTGGAGAGCCTTGCGGTGGATCACCTCCGAAGTGCCACCCAGAGTGTTGTCCAGCCGGAATTTGGCCTGCTCCTCGGCAGACAAGCGCGAGAGTTTCTTTTGGATTGCCTCAAGGACACGGATCGTTGCCAGGTTGGTCTCCAAGACAACATCCAGCTGAAGCGAACAGTGCATTAGCCATCGTTGAATAGATAAAACATGATACTTCACAGAGGCTAACATTTAAGTGACATGAAACAAGAAGCCGTGCATGTTTAACACGATGTTCTCAAGCAGTGGTTTCCATGTTCGGCTGCTCTAAAATAATCCAATTATATTTTATCTGCTACCTAGATAATACTGCGTAAGAATTTAAAGGCTACCAGAACGATACTGTTAGGAAATTACATTTTCCACCTGGGAATAGAACACAATTGACAGTTACTCTACAAAAGGACGTGCTGAACCTGAGCGTATTCAGGTAATTGCCAAGCTAACTTCCATTTCAAGTCAAGATGTCAATCATTGAACATCCTGAACGTATCGCTTTTCAGATTATTACAGGGGAATGCATGTTCTCGTGCGCTATGTGGGCAGTAAGAACAGAAAAGATGCATCGATTATATGCTGGCCATTGAACAATTTCATCTGGAGCGGTGTGAATGAAGAACTCTGCACAAAAAGTGAGGGGCAAGGGTGGTAGCTTGGAGCGAGAGGTGGTTATACAGCCGCTGCTTCTTGCATTAAGAGAACACAAACTTTTATGCAAAATAACAGGTGACAGACTCACAATAAAACCAGATTCTAAGCAGTAGTATTAAAGGTATAATTATATCAAGATCATTAACTGTTCACAGAACCCCAAGCTTTCTGAGACATGAATCAAGGAAAAACAATTTACCTCGAAACGCTCATCCTCGCACCTGTAGATGTGCTCTTCATATTGCGTCTTCTTGGAGCTCACAAACGTGGAGTCTTCGGACCAGGACGGGAAGGAGACCCAGGTGTCATTCAAAACCTTTGAGGGAGACAGGGGGAGACAACAGTCATGGTTAGTCTTCAAGGGGGTCACACTCACCTGGTTGAGCCCAATCTTCTGACGGAACAATATAATTCCCAAGTTGCAAAAATTGTGTGCCCCTTCCAAAGCCCCCTGTTCAGGGGGCAACCCCAAACAGCCAGAACTGAAACCTCCAGGCAGTCTGAAAAATTCATTAGCTAGAGCTATAAGAAAAAACTTGCAAGGGAAGAGAAAGAGAGGTGAAAGGAGCTTTTCCATTACTTTGGATTAGTCAACTGCAACCAGCTGGTTCATCACGTGTGTGATTCACCATCGACAATGCTGGGTGGTCATCACATCAGACACAACTGTTAGACAGTACGTGGTTTCTACCTCCAAATAAGGCTAATTAGCAATATAAATCCATACCCCAGCAACACCTTTCCTGACAAAGCAGCTGAGCACCTGCAGCTTTCACCACCTCCAAAACAGGAACAGAACATTCAGAAAAACCTCAAAAGAGGCCAAAGGCAAAGATTTTGGCAAGCAGTCTTGAAAGTCAGACCCAGTTTTTGTAAACCTGAAGCTTGAACAACTGAGTCATTAGATCGTCACAGGAAGAAAAGTTCGTAACTGCATCACTCAAGACACTTTTGAGAGGCATGTCAGGACTTAGATTAAAAAAAAAAAACAAAACAAAACAAAAAACCAAACAAACAAAAAAACCAAACCAAAACTTACCACTGTCTCTTGCCCAGGTTGTTTTCACTACCTTGCCACTGCTTCAGCTGAACACTTATCACCACTGCTAACTGTGTGACTTGGTCACACATTCATCCTCCTCATCTCTCAAGGAGTGTAAGGACACAAAAAACTTGATGTTCTCAAAAGGCAATCTCCTCGCTCTTTGTTGCGGGTGCCACTGCTGACTGCAGTCACCCAGGGAAGGGATTTCTGGGGCTCTCCCTTCCTCCAGTGAATGCTCTTAAGCAGCATGTTTATTAACTGGCCTTTCAGCAAGATTCCTGCTCACTCATCTCCAAAACATTACCTTCAACACCAGTGAAGGAACAGGATCAGCCAGTACCATTCGCACTTTGATCAAAAGGTCATTACAACACATTAAAGGACTCAACGAGTACATCTGATCCTGCAGCACTTTGCTGGGAGACCAGCTTTGACTCTTAATCAAGGTGGCTGGTTCCCTGTAGGGAGCCAATTTCCCAAAGCAATGCACCATTTCTGAAGACAAGAGGTCTTCTTAGCATTTCAGGTGGAAAGAAAGAAGCATGTGACGGATATGTGGGAGAATCTGCCTATAGAAAACGTGAGAAAATTTTAAGGCTGGACTAGAGACAACTTTGAAAGCAGACTAAGCGGGAATTGGGATAAAAAGGTAGCAGTAATCCTGAATTACGTACCGCCTTGTAAAAGATCCCTGGGATCACATTAAGACTGTGCAGAAAACTAGTTCTGCCATTTCCTACTGTAGAGTTTTTAAGTTTGTGATTTTAATGTTCTTTTTACATGTGTTGTACTATGTAAAACATCATACATATCTAAGGTCCCTACATTTTATTTAAGTAGTTAAACATCACAACTATTTGCTAGGGTTCTTTTTCCAGCTGCTCTCCAATGCTTCACACCACCACTTCACAAGCACCACTGGAGAAGAGCTGATGCCAACAATCAAAGCCACGTGCGTATCGCATCTCCCAGCCAGCTTCCAGCATAACCCATTCCTAGACTGACGCCTCGCCCTGTGCAACAGCTTCTGAACATGATCCAGATGTTTGCAGGAGTGCCAAGTGCTCACTCGCCACCAGGAACACCTCAGGGCGTGCTCACCTCGGGCTCTGACACGTACCACGATGATGCCGAGCCAGGATGGTATGCCTGCACACGCCTGGGTGCAGGAGCAGCATGGCTCAGTGCTGGATCAGTGCTAACCAGATCCACCACAACAGGCAGCTGCCTGGCCCCACCTCCATGCCCAGCACCAGTTCTGGGGCGCAGGCAGCAGCACAACGCTGCTGCACAAGAGCAGACGTGCCCTGACATCCCCGGGAACCTTTTCAGCATAGAACAGGGATATAAAAAAATAAACTCCCCATCCTGTTGTTCTGTTCTCCTTGGCATTGCTCCATCCATTCTATGATTCTATCCCTCCAGGAAGGCTGGGAATAGCCTTCCTCTGTCACACAATTCCCATCCAAGAGCATCTTACCTCTTTACACAGTGGAGTCCGCCCTGTGCACTTGGGTTGCTGGTAGCTCTTGGGTAAGGCTCGGTAGCTGGAGCCCAGTCTTTTACAGGACGCATAGTCTATCTCCATGGCAATCCCCTCGGTAGCCCGTTCCTTCGGATATGTCTCCATGTGAACAGACTCTTTATAACCCAGAAAGTTTTTAAACCAAGTGAACAATTCTGGGAATTTCCTAAAAATAAAATGAACGAAGTGAAAAACTAGCTAAGCAGAAATCAAACACCGCTGAGCTGTGATGCTGAGGCTAAAATTGATTGCTACAGACAGACTGTGCCCAAGAAGACCCTCTGCATTATCAGCCTAGTGATAGAGGACCCTCTCTGCTCAATCCCACTTCCACAGAGCCTGATCAAACTGGAGGCTAGTACCTGTTTGTTGATAAGGTAGTGGATTGCTCTCTTGGTGCAACTAAGGTGCTTTAGCATTATCCCCCCATATTGCCAAGGATACACAGACAAGCACCAATACATCCTCCGCGTGCCTCGTGGGTACAGTCCCTGCGAGACAAGTAAGGAACAGCAGCCAAAGCCTTCACTGCAGGGGCAGCACCCATTGCAGGGTCACATCTAGGTCTCCCATACTACCCTGGTAGTAAACTCAGGCCAGATCCCTAGTTGTCTGTCAATGTTCTTAACCTTAAAACAGACTATTCCTTTCCAAAGGCAGCCAGAAGAAACTGAAAAGTGATTCTGTAACTACACAGCAAAAGGTTTCAGTGCTGAGCAATTGCTTCAACCAGTGCTGCCTCCCCAGACTACACAGTGGCACAAATTGTGAAGAAGCCTTGGCCTGCAAGGCCCAAGTTCGTCTGCTTGTAGAGAAAAGTTGTCTGAAGAATTTATTAGTCTAAAATAGTGCATCTGTTCAACTCCTCTTATCTCATGCAAAGCTCCAGCAATATGAGGAATTGAACCTGTTACTGAGGCTAATTGAATCACTGCTCATTTATTGCTTTTTCATTACATGACAGAAGATAATGTCCAACTTCAGAATAAGAAAACTGTATTATACCTTTCCCAATACAGATATTCACCCTTATAGCTAGGAGCACAGATGGTAGATGAAAGAAATCCAGAATTTTTTCGTCAAATACTTCACCTTTCCTAGCTAAAGGTAGCATCCTGCTGACTAATTCTAGTGGAGCTACAGAAGGAGAGGAAGCTCCTTGGGCAGTTTTTTTTTTGCACAGTACCTAGTGTAATAGGGTCCTGAACCCAATTTACGTTGCTATTGCCTTCTCCCTCGGAACCAGGAACTCAATTCACAGGAAGAAGGAACATTAATCTTGCTGCCCAAAGTTGATGAGAGGATATCGGCTGGTTTTAGCTGACTAATACAGAGTTGTTCTGTACACTGCTGGCAATTATGGAAGTCATGACTTCTATTTAAACTATAGTACTCCTTATCATTTTTGGCTACAAAACAGAATTCATCTGCTTTTTGCTTTTTTGAAATTTTAGTGAGTTTGTACCAGCACTCTTTTTTAGGGGGCATTTCCTATGTAATTAGGCAGCCAACCTTTTCTTGATTGAGATAATCCATGATTCCAGAGCAAGAGACTGCAATAACGCGCTGCTAAATAATTCTGTTTGCTCTTCTGAAAAAGGAAGAAACACAGCAAGCAGTACCAGCACTGCTCTTGAATGCTGCCTGCCTGCCAAGACATAGCTAGGAATCCCTCTCTCACCTCCTCTCGGATAAGGAATAGAAAAGGGCAGTGCAGAAGGAGCATGAAGTTAGAAGGAAAACTGAAGCAGGCCACTTATTGTCCTGCTCCAATAAAGGCAAAGTCTGAAAGCCTAAAGCACATGGCACCTGCACAGTATTAGCCACTGAAAGGCTTCCAAGAACCACCAGTATCTTCCTGCCCATACAGCAGCACATGGCACCTTACTACGTACATTTGTGACACTCAGGCTGAGCCGGAGGGAAAAGGAGATCAGAGAATGCACTGCCACAGAAGCACCTCATGCAATAATTTAGCGGACAGACAATTAAGCAGTGGCAGGCTATCCAGATAAAAGTCGAGCTAACCAACAGCAGAGTAAGCGGGCAGCGCAGAGGGATTCCATCTCAGATGTACTTTTTGGCCCAAGAAGCGACCACCCAGCTCCCAGAGCGGCGTTCCTCCTCCTCCGTGCCACGCAACCACATGAGATGCATTCCCCTGCACAGCCACAAAGGTTAGCGTTTCTTTCCTGGCTTTGCAACAGAACCAGACCAAGTGGATTAAACTTCTCACCTCACATAAGGAAACGGGCTCCACTTACCCCAGGAATGGAGAAACGAGCTGCACGAGCTCAGCCCGGGAGATCACCTCCTGGTTGAAAATAACCAGGCAGCGAAGGAAGTTTTCATATGCTTCTGTGCTACGCAGAGCCTTGCGGACCTTATAGAGAGAAGAAAACAGTTGCTGTCAGGGTGAGATCAAGCTGTGTATGCTATCGCTGTCCAGGAGACCTGGATTCAACACTGTGCTTCCCACCGATGCACGGAGATTACACATGGAACAAGACCGCAAATCTTTAAGTAAGCTGAACAGAGGGTAACTTGCCCCGTACACAGGGCCGGACAAACAGATACCAATGTGAGCCATCGCCATGCTGTGTATGCCCTGCAACATCAGCACCCAGTGCATTACTCTGAAGAAAGGAGTTCCAAGTGACAAATGAAATCCCTCAAAGAACCCCCAAACAGCTGGATTACAAAACGCTGGAGTCATGGACAACGTCAGTCGTAACTGCAGCACCACAAACCCACCCAGGCTGCCTTTAAACACCAGAGAATACTGCAAGTAGGGAGCAGGGGTAAGAGACCTGTGCCGTGGGTAATACTGCTCCAGCCTCTGCCTGCATTACAGCTTGCATTATCACAGATAAGCCAGCTTCTGTAACCCTTATCTTCACAGTACGAGGAAACCGAACAATTCATCCCAACACCATTACCTTTCCCTCGAGAACAGTTAGCATCTACACATCAGACAGAGATCTATCATCATTAAGATATTCGTCGTTATGGTCATAATTCTACAAAGGGGATTTCTAGGTTTACTCATGTTAACACCTACACATCCTCCGAGCAATAGATTGGTTCCCAGTTACCATTAACTGGTCTACAGCATGCTGCAAAATGCACCCCATCATCAGGGAGCAACTAAGATTTTCATCGACACATGAATATTACTTAAAAGGCTTGTTTACATTCACTATATACTCCCCTCTGAGCCATAAGGAAATGTATGGACCTCTTAGGGAAGACACCAAGGTACCACTTGGAAACATCCCGCATATCCTTCATTTGTTCTGTGTGGTAAACCAGCAACAGGTAACAACTGTGCAATTAATTAGATTCATCTCTCAGGGAAAAAAAAAACCAACGTCGACATGAATCAGCTGCTTTGTAAACTGAGCTCCCACACTGCAGGCAGCTGGTTGCTGATGGGTACAGCAAGCTGTGCCAACACAGCAAGACACGCCACGCACATCATCAGTTGTACGGGGATTTCACAAAGGTGGGAAAAAAATTGGAGTCTGTGTTACAGGAAAAAATTCCCATTCCTTCAAATAAGTGGCGTCAGCAGTGGGTGAAAAGCGTGGGGGAAACCAACAACAAGGTAAAACTGTGCAATTAATTAGATTCATCCCCCAGGGAAAAAAAAAAACCAACGTCGACATGAATCAGCTGCTTTGTAAACTGAGCTCCCACACTGCAGGCAGCTGGTTGCTGATGGGTACAGCAAGCTGTGCCAACACAGCAAGACACGCCACGCACATCATCAGTTGTACGGGGATTTCACAAAGGTGGGAAAAAAATTGGAGTCTGTGTTACAGGAAAAAATTCCCATTCCTTCAAATAAGTGGCGTCAGCAGTGGGTGAAAAGCTGTAGAATGACCTTTGGGGAAAAGACACGAATATCCATGTAAAAGAGATCACCAGCCTTTTAAAAAAAATTCAATGGATCTGACTTAGGGGTCGCATGATACATCTGAGGTCAAGCTGACAAATGTTATCAGGGTGGTATATATACCACATACTTCACTGTGATAAAAATCCAGATGTATACACGCTAAGAATATAAATAGGAGAAAACCGTCTCGCATCATTGAATCTTGCTTCTCACCTTCTCAAAGAAGAGAGATTCTGTCCCCACACCATGTTTGCTGGCTTCTGCCAAAGACTGGTCTTTTAAACCAAGCAGCTTCGGTTTCTTCTGTTAACAAAAAACAGAAAGGCAAGAAAAAAGAGGGGCTGTTCAGCAGAGCAAGTTGCCATATTTTGATTATTTATCACACAAGGGTTTCAGCTTCCTGACTTCACCATTTGCTTTCAAATAAAAGAAAGGTGGCTTTTTGGGAAGGAAACTTGCATGAAAGTGTGTCACAAGTTAATCTATTAAAGGTTAATCAGTACCATAGAACTCCAAATATTTTTAATACACTGTTGCATCCTTTTCTGTAACTAGTTGATTGAAACGGTCACTGATTGTAGCGTATCTCATTTTTCTAACTAGTTTGCAGAATTACCAAATCTCTTTTTTTTCCAATCACTCACCCAGTTCTTTAAGTCTTACACCTCTCTCAAATTAGTGTATTCCTTTTTTCTCTCTTGCATTCCACTGCAAGATCCTTTATTTTCCCCATACCAGCGCTGCACTCCACATCCTCAGAAAGGCTAAAAGCTGCCTCCAAAATTTGTTTTATTTTGCTGCCCTTTATTTGAAGAGGAGGAGAAAGGGCAGAAGGGGAAGTAAATCACTGGCTTTAAATGATACAATTACGTGTGCTGATGCTTTTCATCACAAAGCAAGATAAACCACCTTCAAATAAAGCAGGCAAACTTGTCCCTAACACACAAACGCTAAACCACCTGGCCGCGAGACCATTTTTATTACTCCACAAAGCCTTTCTCTCTCAAAACATGCATCATTTGAAAAGGGCAAACTCTGCTAGGAGAATAATCGTTCGTCATTGTATTATAAAGTTTATCATAGGAAAGATGAACAAACACGATTCCGCTGCATCTGCTCCAAGTTCTACTACAATAAAGCTTTCAGGCACACCTTTATCTTTCCTCCAGCTTATCTTCCCACGTGCCTTGGAAACATCGCTACAAATTTTAGACAAACTTATATTGTGACTTTACTGATACTTTTGCCTCCACACCCCACATCTTTCCCTCATTACCAAACCCTGCTTTGTTAACCGATAAAACTACTCCCACGCATTCTGCAGCATCCTAATAAAGTGGGGAAAGCCCTATTTTTCCCAAGCCAGTAACTATTACCACCCTCAGGTACAGATAACACCATCAGTTTGTGAAAATCAGAGACAAAGCCTGGCGCTTAGAAACAAGGAATTCAGAAAGTTTCCTTTAAAGGCACGCATGAGTTTCTGTTTTCTCAAACTGCAGCCTGCGCCACAAAAATTGCACAGACTTGTACAATGCATCTCTGCCACAGCCTCCTGGGAAAAACAGGGCTGCTGAACGAGCAGCACACACTCTTACCTTCACCGGAGGGGTTGCTCCAGTTCCCGAGTGCCGTCGGATCTGACAGCCATTCTGGTTGGGTCTTTGCTGTTTGTTGTTGAGCTGTGGCTTCTTCACCGTGCCACCGTGATCATTTCTTACCGATTCCACTTTCTCTGCAGTTGTCTTACTTAACAGCTTATTTAGAGACAAACCCATAAGACCATTAGAGCTGAATTCCACGCATCCAGGCAAAAAAATATGCCTGCTCTTCCTAGCTCTAGATGACCAATGTATTTTACCGCAGTTATTGCGGTCTCAACCCTTTTAGGCAAAGGGATTGTATTTAAAAGACAAGTCATGGCCAGAAAACAGTCTATCACCTTGACCCCATTCCCACACTCAGTAAAAGATCACTCCAAAAAAAACCCAAGAAACAAACAGCAAAAGCACATTTTTCTGAACTCTGGCTACATACATGACAGTTTTCCACTAGGTATTTCAGTTCCAGTCTATCTCCAAGAAGACTCACCACAGAGCTGTTGGCATCAGGCAGGAACTGCCCGAACTCCGAGAGCAGATCCTCCTGGTTCTTGAAGAGGCGAGCCACCTGCGCATACACCTCCTGCTCCGTCAAAGCCGGTGTGTAGTTACCTCCTGCCTCCTTCGCATTTCGCTGCTCTTTCTGTCATAGGAAAAGGGACAAGTGTCAGAAGAAAGGATTTAAGTGACAAAGAAAAACAACAAAAAAAACCCCTCAGTGATATAAAGAATGAAAAAGCAAAGGTATCAGCATCTTACATAAAGAATCATACTATATACACACTAAATACATATACTTGTACACACTATAAATATATACTAAATGGCCAGCTGGCCCTGGACTAGTAGGACACTGATCAAGGAAGGAGTTTCTTTACTTTTAACGTAGTACTCCTGCCAAGAGACAACTCTCTTCCTGACCCACGCTCACGGAAAAATGCGAAATATGATTTTTAAAAAGGCATTTCAGACACTTGCAAATAAAGATAGATGATGGACTGAAATCTATTATTTCATGCTGCTATGTAATCTTCTAATTTGCAAGAACTCTGCTTAGCTTGCTGGCCAGTGCTAATCCAGCAGAAGAACCAAATGCAAGTCTTGGACAGGCACAGTTAGCTCCCATAGCAAAGAAAGAGAAATAACCATACATATACTCAAACCTGCACTGTATCACTCACCTGATATGTATGGAGGATCTCCAGAAAGGCTTTGTAGATGTCTGGCTGTCCCTGGAACCGATTCTTGATCTTGTTGACATAGTTGATGGCATGATTAAACTCAACAGGCTGATTGTTCTGCAGGGACGGTGTGGTTCCCAGAGAGATTGTCACAGGCGTATGAGGTTGGACCGGTGGTGAGCGTGGTGATGCATATGGTGGAATCGGGGGAGTTTGCTGGCTGGCAGGAGTATGTGCCTGCAACTGTGATGGCTAAGAAGAAAAGAAGCCATGTTAGAAATCACCAGGTTCCTTTATGTTTGGAATAAAGGCATTTTTATTCCGCGTATGGACCATATCCAGAGGAAACAAGCCAGAATATAACTGTATCTGATGCCAATGGTGGAACAACGTGGATTCAGTAGAGATACCTCTGAGCTGGAACATCACAACTGGACGAAATCTCCTGCTACCACATCCAGTAAAACAACCTCTTCCCATATACCAGCCCTGGATGACTTTTGCTGCACTTCTGTAAAAGACTGGTCTTTTTAAACTGCTGCTGAACAATTATTCCCTTCACAGGTCTAGGGAATTTTAACAATATCTTTCATAAACTGAATGTTTCCTAGTGGCTGTGTAAGCAGAAACTGCTGTTAAGAGTCAAAATTAAGAAATACCATTTCACAGTCAGGGTTGGGTTTTAAAGATTAACAGAAGCACAAATACGGGTAGACTTAGCAGAAAAAAAAACTATTACCCAAAGCAAATAAATAGATAAATATTCAGTGGGCCAGTAGAGACTACAATTCATCAGGAAGACAAAACACCCGGACCATTCAAGCTGTTGCTTAATTGCTTTTGACTGAAATCTGACAAGACACACATACTATCTCAAAAATTTAACAGAGCCAAAATGCACAGGCATGGCTTGCTCCAACACTGCAAGTTATTTTGCCCCTAGTGAAGAATTCTGGGATGCATAAAGTAAGGCAACGGCAAGGGAAAACTGGATTTCTTTCAATATTGAGACAAAGAGCAGGCAGATAAGGCTCTCAGAGTAATTATTTTGAATACTCTTAATAGACACCTAACAGCCACAGGAAAATTCAGCAGCGGTTTTGAGGTGGCAATTTTAAATGCAAATGGAAGTACTCATTCCTGTCACCTTCCAAACTTCAAAACATGTACTACGCAGAGTTTTCACTACTGACAGTGTGGATAACTGTCTCAGGATGGCCAGAAGCATCCTATTACAAGATCCTGCCTTGCTTACCTACAACTTCACCTGTCTGGTAAGGAAATCTCACCTCAGTGTCCCTCAGGTTCATTTTAAAGTTTCAGCAAAAATAGTTCAACTCTTTGCAGGATGATGAAACAGGGAGAAAACCACTTAGCCCACAGTGATGAGAAAGAGACTGCTACTTCTTCACTGAGAACATGCCCTACTACTTCAGGGAAAATCCTTGAAATCTGGCACAAGTAAGTTAATTCCTGAATCCCTTAGTTTTGCAGTTTTCAGCTTTGCAAACCTTTTAGCACATTTTCCGTTGCCACTACTCAACAGGAGGTTGCAAGTCCCACCAGTGTTTGTCTAGAGATCATCTTATTGCCACATTTTAAATCCTGTTGCTTTCTAACTGCATATTCCTTTTTTTTTTTTCTTCTCCAGCCAATTGTTAGCTGATTGTACAGTTTAGAGATTAACCCTTGAAACTTTGGGGATTCTTTCCCTCCCTAAGGCTCGCAAATCTTTCCACATTTTGAGGCTGAAATACATAATATTTTGTCTAGGGTAAGCTTCCTGAATGCCTCTTATATTATCCTATTCTGTTTTCAGTCACATAAAATAGATCTGTTGGACAGTAGCATCTGGGTTATATCTAAAGCACAGAGTCAAATTCCCTTCGTTATTGAAAGGTCTCAGTTTCAGGTGCACAAACTGATACCTAAAGGCAACATCACGGTCATTGTGCCTGAACTCTTCCACTTTAGATTTTGCCAATAACTCCTGTACCCATCCAGCTGATGGCTGAACTAGATTCTTTTACACAAAACATCCAATCTGAAAACAAGACTTCAAGCAATGCAGAATCTACCAAATAACTAATCAAGCTCTTCTAAAGGCTTAATTGCCCCAAGCATTTGAAACCACACACACACACTTTCACACCAAGAGCAACACCTTTATCACAGCCTCTGTCTTATGGGGAATTTCTTGGGACTTCAGTTGTCCTGAGACAATATACACAAAAGCAGGCAGTTCAACATGTGCCCAGTGCTTTAATTAGGAAGCCCTTCTTGCAAAGTCAAATGCATTTCAAGGAGCTTTTTCCTGGGGCTGCTGGATCACTCCCTGAATAACACGTGTACATTTTACCAGATGCTCTGAGCATCTTTCAGTTCCCCACTGAAAGCCACAAGGCTTTTCCAAACCCTTAAGGTGGCTTATTTGAATTATTGTCAAATCAACTAGGACACATCTTGAAGTTTGGAAAGGAGAAACTAATCCAGCAGCAGAAGCACAACACACGCAGGTTCACAAATACTATGAAAAAGCAGGGTGTAAGTTCCTTTTTCGCTCTCTAGCTCCATATCAGTTTCGGCTGGAGGCAGCAGGATCCCCGTGTTATCAATGTATGTCACTCAAAGTCTCTCACCTTACTGATTTTGGCAGGTGGTGGCTGCGGCGCTGGCTGTGCTGGTGTTGGGGTTGATTGCGCTGAAGGCTGCGACTGATGCTGCGGCTGGGGCTGCGGCTGGGGCTGCAAGCCGTGAGTGGGGATCTGATGAACCTGCCCTGGTGTTGTCACATTCACCATATCATTCGTCTGCACCTCAATCTTGTAGCCAGGTGGCAAGAAGGTGTTGAAACCCATGATCAAGTCTGGGTGGCCCTTGAAGAGCTGTGATACGCGGCTGATCACTCCCGGAGTGTCAATACTGAAGAAGGAGTAAGACCAAAAGGTCACAATTCTCGAAGACCCTTTCAGTGGTACACCGAGTTCTCCACACAAAAATTTTCCATTAGAATTTTTACCTTGTCACCTCTAACCTATGAAACAATGCAAAACTGACTCCTATGAACACACTACTGAACTTAAGAACGACATTAGAATTATTTTATTAGCCCAGACAGCATTTTATGAGATCTAGTCCCAAGTCTGACCATTGTTAATGGGCAGACAACCAGAGAGCCAGATCAGCCAGCTATCAAGGCTGAACTGTGAACTCCCACTCTAAGCAGAGATTTAGTATAAACGAAGGGATGCATTTAACTTTCAGGAAAGAAAGCACACAACTGCTTTTACGCTACTGCTAGAGGTGTGTTACTCTGCACGTGGAAGGACAGAATTTAGCTCCTGCTCTGTGCTCCCATGCCCACGTATACTCTTTCTAACCTGGAAGGAAGAAGCAAAATGCAGCTTATTACCTTTGAGATTTAAATTCCTTCATAATATCCAAGAAGTCATTGTAGACCTGTGGCTGGCTACCAAACTGCAGCTTCACCTGGTCAAGATAAGACAATGCATCCTCCACCTGGAGGCAGAGCAGACAGGTTATATTAGCAGAGAAGATTTTATTTCACTTCCCATTGTTCTGTGAAACACGCATTATTTGAAAACCCAGCTGGTAGTCCTGAGCCTGGGCAGGGAATTAAGGAGTAAAAGATCATGAACCTGGTTAGTGTACTACCAGCACCATTTGAAGAAAAGATACTCGCTCCCCACTCCTGGCTCAGAAGATAAAACTGGACCAAAAAGACACAAAAAGGAAAAAAAAAAAGCAACACAGATCAGCAGAATTACTCAAAGAAAAAAAAATATACTCCAAATTTACCATCACTGAAGTGACTGCTAGGGTAAACAGAACTAGACTGAGTATTTTTCCTGCATTTATATGTGGAAATTATTATGGAAGTCTAAGAAAAAGCAGAAAGTGGAAATGACATATTCAGTGTAGTAGATGTCTGCCAGGTACACACTTGCACTTTTCAAAAAGCCAGACATCTCAGTTCGACATACAAGGATTTTGAAAATGGCAACTGTGGGCGGTAAATTGTTTTACACCTCAAACAGCAAGAAGTTTATGAACTGTTCGTGTACCAACATCCAATTTTCAGATGTACTGAAAGAACAGCCACAGCCTAAAGCAAGAGCTCTGGGTCCGTATCACCTCCAACAGCCAGGCCATCAGCTGCAAAAGCTACACACAGGACCTCTCTTTCATCTGAAATTAAACAACAGCAAAGGAAGAAAGACTACTATGTATAGCCCCAATATTGCATCGGCAGAGGATTTGCCATCACTTTTCACTGGGAGAAAGAATCACACATTTTGAAACCATTTTCAGAGGTCTCTAGAAATGAAGTGTCCTACATTCAGCAAAAGGAACGGGCCTCTCACCCAACAAGGTAGTGGGTTCCACCAAAACTGGAAGAGACTTGCACCGTATTTGGAAGAGACTAGGAAACTGGCATCAATTCATATATATGTGCTTTCTCGCTAGAGATGAACCTAATGCAGCTACTTAGAGGGGTTATTTTTGGTGCATTTTTCTTTTTTAAGGATTTTATGGCACATAATCCGAGAATAGAGCCTTCCTTACTCCCAAATTACTCCCACACAACCACCCACATATGCCATGTGTTCAGAAAAGCACCAAGTGTTTTGGTAATTTAACCCATTCATATGAATACTCCAAGCAATACTTCTTCCTTTTCCTTCCTGCCCCAAATCTTTTCCTAGCAAGTTCATTTTTTATTATGGTATTTGAAACAACAGGGTTTCAGCAGAAAGAGAAGTCCCTTTCTGGATTCAACAGTCTTCCAAACAGGAAAAGCACCTAAGCCTTGTCAAGAAAGCTTTCAGGAGGTCACCAGCTGGCTTTGCAGGGAGGCCTCCCTTACAGACCGAATAGAAGGCAGCCCCCGGTTGCCTAAGGATTTAGGCAGAGGTTTGTTTACTTAAGGCAGCAATGCTCAGCATTACCTTGAGCCTCTGGAACTGCTGCTGCCCCTGCACGGGCACGGCTGGTGGGGTGGGGTGCGTGTGGCTCTGCACCACCTGGCTCCCATGAGGCTGCACCGGCGCGGTGTGGTGGTGGCCGCTGTGGACGGCTGCGATGGCTGGCCCATGGCTGCCCGAGCTCTGCGGCACGGCTGACACCTGGCAAGGTAAAGAGGACATCACGTATGGCTATGGCTTCGTGGCCGCCTCCGCTTGCTGCACAGGCGGAGAGCAAGATCGGTCTTCCCAGATCCAGGTGTACCAGTAACATTTTAAGGAAGCAGAACACAGTCAGTTTGACCTTTAACCATGACTGCTAACAACGTTACTCAAAAAATATCTTATGTTTTCTTCAACAATGACCCAGAGAGACCTAAAAACGAAACAACTCTCAACCTATACTCCAAATACAGGAGAGCCCTCTCTGCAAACACATCACAAACGCAGGTTCTCTCCAGCCTGCAGACTCACTGGCTGTCTAGTTACTAACATAAAGACCTGCAAAAGGGGCCTAAAATTGGATTTTTAAGTCTGACAGAATCAAGGTTCTCTCTTTTCTCTACAACACTTAACTGTCACAAGCAATAATCTGAATGAACGAATCTCTACAAGCTTCTACACTCTTGCCATTCATTTTGGATACTGGAAGTCAAATTGTGGCTCTCTGGCCCCAGCAGACTCAGGGAAACACTCAGCTTAGTATCTCCCCTAGAAAAACAGGGAAAGGAACAAAAGGCATGCACTTTTCGAGTCTCCTTCACACATTAAACCAGAAAAGCTTCAATTTGGAAAATCCATTAAGGCAGCCGTTAAAAAAATTTTTTAAAAGTAAATTACTTTTCATTGTACACAAACTTAGTTTTCCATTCAAGCCTCTTTTAGATGGGATATACTTTTTTTAATCCTTCTCATGAACAAGAAACAATTTGCTTGCTGGTCCATCCAAGTTCTTTTTAGGAAGGACTGCCAGCATAAACACACCCTCTTCCAGTCCCTGCAAGTGTCTGCCTGTAGGCTCTTCAGCTCTGTGGCGGCTGCTGCTATCGGTGTGAACAGCCCTTCTGCAGAAGTAAGGAAGAAGCTGTGTGTAAAATTAGGCACTAGACGGGGAGAGCAGCTCACCAGCAACACAAGCGTGGAAGATGCAACATGCCAAAAACATGGCAAAGACAAGTAACACAGGAGCAGCCTTTCCCTGGTCTTTCACTGGGAGGTATCCCCAGCACACTCTTAAAGTACATTTTTTTTCTCTCCCCAGCTGACAGCTGCTTGCAAAGGAGGCAAGAGAGGGAAGAGTGCCACCTAATGACTCTGGGGTAATGTCTTCTGAAACATTTCAGTTTTCCTGAAAGTCTCCAATCTCAATGCTGATCTGATCCAGTCTGTTAAGCTTAAGATCACCCATGATATCATATGCCTGTGACAGAGCAACCACAAGAACAAACCTTTTCCTGGTAAAGAAAAGAAAAATGGAGAAGCAGCCCTGCACACATTTGCCTCTAGGATTCAGAGACCGTGATCTGAGAGAATCATTGAAAGAATCATTTTCAAAAAAGCCAAATGATACCACGTTTGTTCAGGTGGCTCTGAACATGAATGAAGCCGATATAGTCTTAGAGCAAGTGCTTAAAATGAGAGGTATGACATTTGTCCAATTGTCCAATCCTGGTTTCTCTTTAGGAAGCCCTGGTTACTAAAATAAACTTTGTCTAAAATACAGAATTCTACTGTGAAATGACACAGTGCTGGCTGGTGACGCAGCAGGACAGCAGCTGCTCCCCCGAGATGCAGCTAAGGGACAAGCGCACGCACCTGGTAGCTGGGAGTTACCGAGTACTGAATCCCCGTGGCAGACTGCATGGTCTCCGAAACCGCCTCATAGACCGGAGGTGCCGGGGCAAGCACGCGGTGCTGGTGTTGAAAAGCTTCGGTGCTGCTGGTGATACGTCTCTGCTGCGACGCATACACGGGTGACTCCTGCTCATCCAATCGCCGCTTCATTCTGAACTCATGCTCGGGAAGCACTACAAAACCTGTTAAAAAGAGGCCAATTAACAAACGCAATTGATTCATCGCTCCCTGCCAGCGCCATGGATGCTAAGTTCACCAAGAGCAGGCAGGGCAAGTTTCTGTCTATTCATTTAGGTTACTGGTATCTCGAGATAGGAAAGTGGAATTAAGATTCAGCTTTCTGCATAAAATAAGCCATCGTGTTTTATCACAAAAAATACAGCCTTATTGTTGGAAATAAAATACTCTGCTTAAAAGTTAGTGGTTTCTTCTATCTCACTTAAAGGACGTTGCTAGCATGGGCATCTATCTTTAGCACACGCAGACCCTGAGCAATGCAAAGCTTCTTGAATGCAGTATTTGAACACAACAGACTGGGGGAGGGTGCGTTACCTACACACAGACTGGACAAATGTACCTACATTGAAAGCAGAAAAAAAGCCTCCTGGACAGTCCAGGCAGGATAACAGGCAGCTGTGAGAGATGCTTTAAAAACGTGGGAGGAAGGGGGAAGAAGGAGGTAAAAAGCAGGATGCGTAGTCAGATTTTGAAATCACTTACAAAGACCCAAAGCAAAGCGTTCTCTGTTTAATACACATAAGACACGTAACCTCAGTGAAACCCAGCAACCCACTACACCAGGAGTATTTTGGATACCATGTGCCACACAGCCGTGGTCCTCCCCACTCACCAGCACCAAGCCAAAGAGTGCAAAGCGGAGCAGTGCAAGCAGGCACCATGGCTGGCATCCTGCACGCCTGCCAGGGATGCGGGCAAGCACTCATCAACCGCTCTCCCACTTACTCTCCGGTATTTTTTCTTCTCCAACACGCAGGCACGTTCCTGCCCTACTCTAAGTTGTCTTTATACAACCTAATTTCACTTCAAATCTGACAGGTCATTTTGCCACTGTCCCGCTCCTAAAAGTGCCATTCATTCTTCACTCTGACTGAGCTACTCACCTACTCTTTTCTGCAAGCAAATTCCAGTGCTATTTTCTATGCATCGATAGTTATTGTCATCTTTGAGGTCTTATCTGCTGCTCATGAAACCACTGGGTGCTCAAAAGCATACGCAGCGTATTAAGGTGTTTGATGGACAGAGCACAAAGTGAAATCCACCCTCTTCAGCCCCTAATTCATCAGGGCCTCTCCAAAGCAAGTGCTTTTCTGTTGCAGTGTAGTTAAACACATTCATTGCTAACGTGGACACACGGATAAACAACAGGGAATGAAGTTCCCCCAGAATAACGGTACTACAGCCCACTAAGCCAATTCTCATCTACCAAGCCAGGACAGCTCTTCACAGTCTAAATGCATCATTAACCAAAGAACCCAAAGATCATTCACCAATATCTCAGTGCACGTCAAATATGTAAACGGGAACCAGCAGCACAGAGGTTCAGAATAGATCAACGTGGGCTTGAAAACACAGGCTTTGTGCAACAAAGTGTTTTCCCCTCCATGTCCTCTTTACTAGTCTCTCCTTTCACTTGGAGAGAGTAGGACAAGAAGGAAGATTACTTCGTTTCTTTTTGGAGTTGCTCTTCAAGTTTAACCTCTCCGAAGAGAGTTCCTTATCAGGTCCCCAAAGCACCCGGGCAGGCAGAAGACAGCTGGCAGAGGCAGAGGACGACTCCTCAACCCAAGCAAAAAAGAAAGCTTGCTAACTGGATCTTACTTACGAGCTACAAATCCTAAGTAGGTCTGACCTCCAGCACACGCTCAGAAAGCGGAGGAGCACACTCCAGGAGCTCATTTTGCTAACGGTGCCTGCATAGGTTGTCTTTTCATTCAGCTGGTCTCTGCTGACAAATAAAGAGCTAGGCAGGTTAACTTCGAGCTACTCCCTTCAAGCACAGCCCGCGCTTAGCTTTGTAAAAACGTACAGTTTTATGCTAATAGGGCTGGGACTAAACCGAGCAATGCCGGCAAATCTGGCCACACACCATCATCCCACGAGCAGAGCTAGCCAGGATTTTGCATGACAATGGCTGACTGCATGAGTAAAGTCTGGGCAAAGCTTTGGTGGCATCTATTTATAACCTGCTCACCAACTTGGACACCCTTCTGCTCTAAACACTGGTACCCCAGCCAGTCCTTCCACTTTCTTTTGATCTCCCAGGCTGGTTCACCCCTTACCCTCTCAACAGCGCTACAGCTTTCCTTCCCTACAGGAGCAACCAAGAACTGCTGGTTTGCAGACACGTACACACAATATCCACAAAGCAGGAACATTCTCAAAAAAATATTCACATGTGATTTGCTATAAAGAAGCAAAATGGTTCCAGCAGGCTTAGCACGCTGTCTGCACTAAGGGGTGGGCGTGTATGTATATGTGTACATGGTGTATATGTGGTGTGGCGGCTGTTAAGTGTCCCACCCTTGTGTCTCACTTCCCAAAGCAACACTCCACACTTGTCGCTTTGGATGGACTAACCAACCTTTAAAGCAGAGGCTGTCTGAGGACAGAAGATGGCTGGAAGACTCATGTGCCCTTATGAGGATTAAAAGGCCACCTTAGGCTGACTGAGAAGCCTTTTCCCCGTGGAGCCACCAAACATCTCAGTCCTGTGAGGCCGTGGGAATCGTGGTAGCATCAAGGATAATTACCACATACACACCAGCAGCACGAACATCAGTTTTTGAAGCTCCTGATTCTCACAGACCAAGTGAGCAATCTTCCAGAAACCTAGTTTGCTGTATGGTCAACATTAAAGCTTCTGTTTAGTGAAAATTAAAGCTCCTGTACATTCTTCTTCCCTCTGAGTTCCCCTCACCTTTGTTAACTGAGCCTGGACTCTGCTTCTATCCAAGCACTGCACCTGCTTCAACTTTAAAATTTCATATTAGAGTCTATATATATGAGAGAGTCAGTCAATATTATAGGAAATAGTCAATAGCATTAGTCAATCTTCCTAGATAACACCTGGCTAAACTCCTGCTTAGGGTCTGCATCCGCTGTGTGAGAGCAGCTCGCAGCAGACCACCACCGAACGAAGATTACTAATTCACAGGCTTTTTTAATCCTAGCTGAGAGATGATCTCGATACTCTGCTGTACCTAGATGAAGACTAGTGTCGTGGTTAAACCACGACAACTAGTGATATTAACTCTGTGCATCCACCACCACCGAAACGCTACAGAGAGGGGAAAGCACTGAGGGGTCAGCAAACCAGCACCAGAGCAGAAACTGGTCTGCATCTTGCAGAAGAAAATACGATGCTGAATGCTCCCAAAGTGCATTCATTTCCTCATGGAGGTCCTGCTGATCTTGACCTGGCATTGTCCAAGGATCTTCCCCATTCAAAAGCTGGAGAGATGTGTTGTGCAGCAAGTCCTACCCCTCCTACAGCACACCAGACGGCCGATAAGGAAGAAAGGCTGTGATGAAACCCAAGACTAGACATGTCATTTTAAACTGATTTAGCTGAAGCCTGCTGCTCAAAGGGGCAGTTCCACCCACTTCCACCCTCAGTGGCAACTGATTTCTCTCAGCATCCTTGCTGATGGCAAAGCCCAGCTAACGTGGAAAGGTGTTTCGAGGATAAATACACAAATGCAATCAGTAGTGTCAAAGATTTCTATCAGCTAGCCGCCCTCCACCAAGGCAACACTAGAAACAGTACAAAGCTTATTTTATGTTGTCTTCTCAGAAACGCAGCACACACCTCTGGCATCCCGTTATGGACTTTGACTCTAAGATTTAAAAAGCCCCAATTCAAATTGCATCATCTGTAATCTTAATTTGGGGGTGGAAAAAAAAAAAAAGCCCCAAAAATACATCAAGGACTGCACGAGACTGAAAGCAAGTCACGAACTTCAGATACTTTCCTTCTTTAAAAGCATTAACCTGAGGCATGTAGGAGAGCTTAGCAATAACTGAACCGACTGAGTCCCACTGTGCAGTCCACAGAGAATTGCGTGCCCTTTCCCCAGCATCATTTCTACCCAAATGATCTTTTAACTTCAGTTAGAGTAGACTACATTCTGGAGGATGAAAACTACATGCTCTATTTTTTTTTTCTTTTCTGAGGTTTTCAGCATTCCCCTTCTCAGGGAAAGGACACTAAATAGAAACACACCTCTGATCTTTCCACCCGTGCCACCTCCCAGCTCAACAGCTTTGCTTAGTGCTACAGGTAGGGTGCATCAGGCAGACGTACCACAAACGTACCCAGGATCCTCAGCTGCTAAAGCAAGAAAAGAAAACTAGAAAAGGTATGTTGCATCTCAGTAACACCACCAGAATTATGAAACTCTACCCTGCCAACCTCATCAGAGGACTTCCCCATCCATCTGCCTCACGTAAGCCAGTGGGACCGATAAACGCAAGTGGAGCGCATCCCTTCCCCTCTGGTATGGCAGAGAGGAGAGGAGCAGCAGCACTGACACAGAAAGAGAAGGAACAAAGCAGGGACAAGGCTGGATTCAGCTGGCGGAGCACCGCACGGCTCCCTCCTCGCGCCCGGCTCCCCGCCTGCCTGCTCACTCCTCCGTGGGAGCAATGAAGGCAAGAGAGCCCGGGTACCCTCCTCTTCCCTCGCAAAAGTGCCTCTCCCATGGCAGCTCCACTCCCCAGCTTTTTACCAAATAAGATCTCAAAAATCTAAATTTTTTTATTTCAGGTTTTCCGATCAGATAAGCAGGGTCTTCTGGCATTAGAGATCAGCTGTTAGATAGGTGTCAGAATCCAAAGCAAAAAGAAAAAGGCAAATAGAGAATAGGAAGAAAGCAAATTGGGAAGGTCTGCTGCCTCGGCACCTGTTGGAATCACAACATGCCTGTGGATAAACACCATCTTCACCAACAAGTTGCGAAAGTGCCACTAGAGAGGATTTCGGTTCCCGCAGACCGAGGACACTTCTGAAAAAGGGCAGAGAAATCACGTAGCTGCAGATGACACGTTTAACATGCGTGTGGGCCTTTTAAAAGGCTTCCTTTCGAAGGAGAAAGGACTCAAAACTTGGAAGCAGCAAACCTAAGTCTCTGCTACAGCTCCGGACCCGTGAGGGGCGGC